AGCCAGTATGGATTTACCAAGGGGAAATCATGTTTGCCTAACCTGATAGCCTTCTGTGATAACATGACTGAACGGGTAGATGCAGGGAGACCAGTGGATGTTATCTACATTGACCTTAGCAAGGCTTTTGACCCTGTCTCCTGTAACTTTTGCATGAGCAAGCTCAGGAAGCGTGGGGTAGAAGAGTGGACATTGAGATGGATTAAGAACTGACTAAACAACAGAGCTCAGAGGGTGGTGATCAATGGTGTGGAATCTAGCTGGAGACCTGTAACTAGTGGAGTTCCTCAGAGATCAATGCTGGGTCCAGTCTTGTTTATCTTCATCAACCTGCATGAGGGGATAGAGTGTATCCTCAGCAAGTTTGCTGATGACACAAAGCTGGGAGGATTGACTGATCCACTGGAAGGCTGTGTAGCCATTTTCTGCAAGATTTGGACAGTCTGGAGAGCTGGGCAAAGAGGAACCTAATCAGATTCAACAAGAGCAAGTACAGAGTCTTGCACCTGGGAAGGAACAACAAAACACACCAGTACAGGCTAGGAGACGATCTGCTGGAGAGCAGCTCTGTGGAGAAAGACCTTGCAGTCCTGGTAGACAAGTTCTCCATGGGACAACAATGTACCATTGTAGCCAAGAAGGCAAACGGTACCTTGGGATGCATTAAGAGGAGTGTCTCCAGCAGATCAAGGGAGGTTTTCTTCCCCCTCTACTCAGCCCTGATGAGACCTCACTTGGGAGTATTGTGTCCAGTTCTGGGCTCCCCAGTTCAAGAGGGAGGGGTATTTACTTAAAAGAGTCCAACGGTGGACTATGAGGATGATTAAGGGACTGAAACACCTGTCTTATAAGGAAAGGCTGGAGCTGTTTAGTCTAGAGAAGAGAAGACTGAGAGGGGATCTTATTAATGTCTATAAATACCTGAATGGTGTGGTATCAAGAAGGAGGGGACAATCTCTTTTCAGTCATGCCCTGTGACAGGATGAGGGGAAATGGATGCAAAGTAGTACATAGGAAGTTCCACCTCAACGTAAGAAAACACTTCTTTACTGCCAGGGTTACAGAGCACTGGAACAGGCTACCCAGAGATGTTGTGGAGTCCCCTTCTCTGGAGACTTTCAAGACCCGTCTGGATATGTTTCTGCGTGACTTGCCTTAGGTGGTCCTACTCTGGCAAGGGGGCTGGACTCTCTTGAGCTCCAGAGGTCCCTTCCAACCCCTAATATTCTGTGATTCTATGATTAGCAGGCAGACCAACATGGATGGTCTTTTATTAAGTATCTGCTATAGATTATCTGATCTGCACACAACTTCATGTTCACAGGAAATTATTTTCATGAGGGACTTTAGATACCACAACACCTACAGGTATCTGAACATCAAAAAATATCCCACAATGCTTTTTTTTACTGTGAGAGTGGTCAAATATGCAGGAACAGGTTGACTAGAGTGGTTGTGGAGTCTACATGCTTGCAGATGCTCACAATCTGACAGGACAAGGTCCTAAGCAACCTGAAGCAGGTGGCCCTGCTTGAACAGTGGGATAGGACTATGTGATGCCAGAGTTACCTTCCCACTTTAATCCTCCTGTGATCCTGTGATGTTTAACTCCATTTAATTTGATTTCTCATAAATTTAAAATACAGATATAAGCCCTCACCAGTGAACATATGCGTTGCAGCTTTATTCTTGACACACAGCCCCACTGCAAATCCATTATCTCCAACTGAGTAGCCTCACTGAGATCAAATTAAGCAAAGCATATTTAGGACTGTGGCCCAGCACAGTCATTTTCCTAACCATGACTTTCACTTCACCTTTCTTTATTCAAAGGATATAATTTGTATTAAAAGAACTTCCATTTCAGATAGAAAGTCAGAGGATTCACTGATCTGTTGTTCCAGTAACAAAGATTCTCCCAAACCAAAGTTACACTGAAAATTTAAGCAATGTACATAATAGTAATAGTATAAATCAAGCCAGAAATCCCATAAATGTTTTTTTCTTTATGTTTCCCAGCATGGCAACACTGTCCAACAGCTATCCAGTATTTGTCTGCCAATGTCATAAAAACATTCTGTATCACAGCAAATGCATATAAATGCACACCACTGTGGAATAGTAGAATTTCTATTTATACAGGATGCACAACAGAGGCTCTGTAGACAGAACATTTTAACATGCCTTTCAAACTGGAGAGTGTCTATTGTTTACCATCTCTGGTGAATTTTCACATCAAAATCAGATCTTCATTATTCCTATCCTCTTTAAACATTTCACCCCTCCATTACTTCCCCAAATATTACTCTCCTGACACCACATGACATTATAAAACTACCTTCAGTTGCAGCATTTCATTGTGAATGTTAGATAAGAGGGGCCAGGGAAGCACTTGACAGCTCACAGGCTGTGACAACAACATTAACGTTAAAATACCTACTGCAGGAAAAGATATTTCAGTTGCACAGTTTCTCATTTCCTGCCTTTGTTGATTGTCCAAAGGTGATACACATGGAACAATCTTTGGATGATGTCAGAGATGCATACCACTGCACACGCAGCTGAGAGGGAAAACACTGCAGAGTACTGCACATTACAGCACCTTTAAGTAATAAAAATTTTGCAGAAACACATTCCAAGGTAACTGCTTGCTGATAGAAATTGCCTGGTTACATGATATTTCCATACAAAACATGAAAAATTTGTGTTGTAAAAGAGGGAGAGAAGGCATGGTGTGGTAAATATGATATTTTAAGAAATCACTCAGTTTAATAGAGAATAATGGTGAAAAAATTATGAGGGGAAGGAGAAAAAAGTAGCAATTTCAACCTATCAATTAAACTTCAGGTTCTAGATTGCAATTTCAACAATAAATTCTCAGTTGCAATAAAGAAACGTAACAGCAAATTGTTCAGCATGTTTTAATCTCATTTCTGCCCATGAGAACAGCATATGCTTTTGTGTCACACAAAATTTATTATAGGATCAGGGTCTCTGTTTTTATAAAGTAACCAAGGTCACAAATTTCTCCCAGCAGGCAACCAGGCTTCTGGGCAAAAAGGGGATGGAAAAAGTCCAAAAGAGCAGAGAACTTGACTCTTTCTTAGATGAGAAAATGCTAATAAATATATGTACATTAATAATAGAAAAATATTAATAACTTTTTTTTACTCTTTGATGCATTTCTCAGAGCAAAACTACACTACTCTTCAGAAAGGTTGCCGTAACTACTTGAAATTATCCAGCTAGTATGCTACAGACACACTTCTCATGAAAATGAATTCAAGAAGTGCACTAACGACCTATTACTGTACAACCTGAAGTATATATTGTCTTTGGGGGAGACCTATAAATGACCCCATTTGAGAACTAAATTATTTACTGCTACTTAGCATGAATACAGAACTTCCTCAGACAAAAAAGTCTCCTAGCTAGATTATTAAATGGCTTTGCACCCACTTACCATGGTAAGATTAGCCAAAAATTAATACAATTGCAGCTTCTGAATTTATACTAAATTTTGCTAATTTTAGAAACAAGTGTCAGATTTATTTGTTTTGAAAGATGGAAGAGGAACCAGAACAACATCCATGGAACGGCACATCTTCCTTCCTACTTATCTCTGTACCCCATATACTACATTGCTTTTTTTCCTTTTAATTGTATATTCTTCAGCTCCCATTTTAATATTAAGAATGCACAAACCTTTACGGTTATGAACTTTTATTAGAAGTCTGTTGAAGTAACAGAATTTCAAATACATTATGCTAAATAATGAGGAATCTGAATGATCCTGTACTGAGCCACTGACTTCTTGGCAGCTATTTGCTTAAGTGCCTGAAAGAGTAATTTTATTGCTTCTGAAAGTTTGAAACAACCAAAATCCTAAGCTGCTAAAATTTTAGGAACATAGCAAAACTACATGCAGACTCCTAGAGAAAAGATCATTAGTAAAACTTCTGACCCATTAAGAGAATGCAATAACCATGTTTCAAACATCCCAAGTCTGAGACTTTCAGGACTAGCAATTACAACAACAGTTTTTGGTCTTTTGGGTTCTTCTCTCTCTACTCACACACTTTGCTATGGGTGCCATTTTTCTTTAAAAATTAAGATAATTTTAAGATGTAACAACCAACACTCCACAACAGGAACTTAATATGTGGATCTCTGGGGGCCGAGAGGGGAAAAGTGAGCAAGCAAAAAGTTTTTTCACAGAAACCATAAAATGCAATTTCCATTGTTCTTACGATGTATAACTCATAGAGCCCAAGTGACCTGTGAGAGTACCTAATGGCAAAGAGTACTCACAACAATAAATTAACAATTATGAGATGCAGACAACACACTCCCAAATTGCTGCTGTGTGAGAAGTCCTGTCACAAACCCATTTTATGACTCAATCCTAGAAGGATAAACAACACAGAGAACAGTCTCATGTCTCTGTACACTGACCAATTTCAGTCTCAGGTGAACATAAATGCAAGAGTTATATATTCTAATTAACGTTAGTTGAAATGAAACACGTTTAGACAAAAGCACATGAAGCCACAGCTTAAAGACTGAGCTTTTCAATATACAGACATCACAGAATCATGGAAATCTTTTAATCACAGAATGGTTTGTGTTGGAAGGGACCTACAAGAACATCCAGTTCCAACCCCCCTGTAAGGGCAGGGACACCTTCCACTAGACCAGGCTGCACAAAGCCCTGTTCAACCTGGCCTTGAACACCTCCAGGAATGGAGCATCCACAACCTCCATGGGCAACCAATTCCAGTGTCTCACCATCCTAACAGTAAAAAATTTCTTCCTAATGTCTAACCTAAATCTCTCCTCTTCCAGTTTAAAACCATTGCCCCTCATCCTATCACTATACACCCTGGTAAAAAGTCCCTTCCCCAAAATACTTGTTTTTTACCATATTTATTACTGTTTTCACACTTTTGCTATGTACTTTTGTAGCAGGTAAACAATGTCAACGGAAAAATAAATCTTACCTGTTTCCTCTTTTCAGGTGGAAGGGATGGATCCCCATCCTGCAAATAAAAAAAACATACTTTATTGGCAACTCACTTCTGAAGCCATCAACTACGTTAACTTAGTGGATCACATCTTAAAACATGTATTTTAACTTAAATATTATCAAAATTGTTTATAAAATATTATAGCTTGATTAATACCGGAAATAGTAGTTTCATCTCAAAAATCATCAAAGGCTGAATATTTGTTTATGTTACTAGAACAGCAGGTCATTACAAATTTATGTTGCATTATTTTTCATAATGGTACATTAAGTTGCTATGGAATACTAATACTGCAGACAGTTTTTAAATGGAATTATGACTGAAACTAATTTCCTCAGAGCATGCACTGTCTTTCTGTGTCTTATATAACAGGCACTACCTCATCAACACAGAACAAAAGAGTAATAATATAATAAGAGCTGTACAACTGCAAGACTACTGTAAACATATACCTAAATATTTTTACAGCCTTGATTACGGACTTCATTCCTTTTTCTTTTTTTTTTTTTTTTTGAGGTTGATTCTTGCTCCCCAATTATACAGTATTAATAAAGAACAACCTACAATCAGCTCTCGATACTTCTTTTTCAGAGACTGGTGTCGTTCCCGCAACTGGTTGGCCATAAGCTTGTACTGGTCTCTTTCTTGTTGACAAGTGTCCAGCTCTTTGGAAAGGATTAGCAATGCCTCCTTTTTACTTTCAAGCTTCCTTTTGCACACCAGATACTGCAGACGAGAAAAACAACGTAATTGTAACAAGCCATTTCAACCACAGCCAGTCTGGATTCAAGATATTCCAAGTTTTTCTCTGAAAAGATGGAAGAAGACTGCACAAGACCAAAGTCTACCACAAGTAATCTTAGCTTATTAATAACAAACACCAGAAGGAAATCCATTGCATTAGAAACCTGAAATTCATGTGTAAGGCCACATGCTCACCTGACCATCATGAGTTGGAAAAATTCAATAATTCTAGCTTCTCTTCTTTTTCCCAATAAACAACAGTATGAGAAGCCTCAAATTTTTACTTGCAGCCCTCAGAAGGCTGCTAGAAGGCAGAGCCTTTGCAAAATCCCTTTTTGTTACTTCTCCCCAGTATACAGCCTACAGTTAGCAACTAGCATTTCCCACCTCATTCCCTCTTCCCTCCTCCCTGCTACCAGCAATGTCCTCTGGACTCAGCTGACAGTGAAAGAGCACAATATTGCTGCAAAAAGAGTATCAGCATGAGCAGCAACCAGAGTCAAAAACAACTTCAGTGTGATACCCTATTGGTGCAAGTAAAATAAACTAATTCAGCTGTGATACTATACACACATGTTTGTTGAGACAAAGAACAAGGAATAATCCAGGAACGCTGGGAACACCTGAATGGGGAGGGAAAGCAGATGTGAACCTTCACCTCCAGCCATCACCTCTTATTCTAAGGGCTCATGCACAAAGCAAAGCAAAACTTGAAAATCATTGCTATTCTGCTTTAGTCTGATCTGCCTCATTGCCTTTCCCCGCTGAGAGGGAGAGAGAGTAACCTGTAAGCCATCTTTTCCTGCGGTGGCTGAATGTTACCCATTAAAGTTTCAGGCAACTTTTCTCATTTAATGGGATGTTTAATCAGCAGATTCTCCTTACCCATCACTTGACACTGCTCATGCTAAAGCATGTATTTCTAGTTCTGATGTTACATTAAGACGTGACACTAAATACCTTCTGAATGTGCTCTGCAAGAGACCAAATATCACAGCAGTCATGAAAACAATTTATAGTTTCATTATATACTCTGACAAGAATACTTTGTCATTATGGACTCTTGCACAAAGCAAGAGCATCAGCACTTCCATACTGTTCAAGTCAGTGCTGTTCTTTGGGACAAAAATCGTTACTCGTATGTACTACTTGCTTGGAATTGACTTTGTTAACCTCAATTTCAAGTCAATGAGAAAGGGAAAAGTGAGTTTCGTATATTAGTACAGCTAACACTTTCCAAAAATGGTAAATGCTTAGTTGCAAAAAAGTGGGAAGGGAATGAGAAAAGCAATTCCAAGAAGGATTTGGACTCTCAAAAAGGACACTTCCACCTTGGATTAATTTTATTTCTGGCAATACTGAAGTTGAAATCCTGCCATAAATCTTCTGGATTATGATGCCTTGGCATCAACAAAGGCAACTGTACCTAGGTACTTACGTCCTTACCTTACACAAATGTCAAATCCCCTGATAGAGCACTGAAAGGTCTCAGAAGCTAAACTTCAATATTGTCAGCAAGTGATCATAGTGACATGGTAAATTGCTTCAAACTTGAGAAAATAATTCCTTCCCTGACAGTGAAATATTTGCCTCTGACAAGCTCTCTTTTTTTTTTTTCCAGCTTCATCTCATGTCTTAGTCAATTCTAAAATGCTTTCACTACATTGTTTTTAAACACTACTAATCTGATACAGTAATTGTAAATAAAAATACATACAAGAAAACCTCATAATCACTTTAAAAAAATCACAAGAAAAACAACAGCCCAAAACCAAGTAGCCTGTCCCGTTCTTTTAAACATTGGAAAGAATTAAGCTGACCCATCCAGCCAAGTCCTACACGGATCAGAACAGCCTTTACAACATTCACAGTGGGCAGGGAGCAAAGATAAACATCTCGCCTCAGGAGACTCACACCACCAGCAGGTCCCTTTAAGCTTTGCTGCTAGTGTTGGTGTATGAAAATGGTGTACAAGAGTCAGAAGTTAATTGGAGTATCTGGATAACTCTGTGAAAAATAATACTTATTAAGCAGGAAATGCAGTGCTAAAAAAAAAATCTTGTTTCTGCCATGACTCACAGCTCTCCACAAAGGACACAGACAAAGCATAAAAGAAGACTTCACCTTTCAAAGCAGCATTACTAGGGGCAAGGGAATTCTCTACTATCTATTAGGTAAAGAATATAATAATTAAGGTTTGAAAAGATCTCTAAGATCATCAAGTCCAATCGTCAACCCAGCATCACCAGGACCACTATGTACCAAAGTGCCACATCTACAAATTTTTATAACACCTCCAGGGATGGTGACTCCACCACTTCCCTACGTAGCCTATACTGTTCAAGTCAGTGCTGTTCTTTGGGACAAAAATCGTTACTCGTATGTACTACTTGCTTGGAATTGACTTTGTTAACCTCAATTTCAAGTCAATGAGAAAGGGAAAAGTGAGTTTCGTATATTAGTACAGCTAACACTTTCCAAAAATGGTAAATGCTTAGTTGCAAAAAAGTGGGAAGGGAATGAGAAAAGCAATTCCAAGAAGGATTTGGACTCTCAAAAAGGACACTTCCACCTTGGATTAATTTTATTTCTGGCAATACTGAAGTTGAAATCCTGCCATAAATCTTCTGGATTATGATGCCTTGGCATCAACAAAGGCAACTGTACCTAGGTACTTACGTCCTTACTGATACCTTACACAAATGTCAAATCCCCTGATAGAGCACTGAAAGGTCTCAGAAGCTAAACTTCAATATTGTCAGCAAGTGATCATAGTGACATGGTAAATTGCTTCAAACTTGAGAAAATAATTCCTTCCCTGACAGTGAAATATTTGCCTCTGACAAGCTCTCTTTTTTTTTTTTCCAGCTTCATCTCATGTCTTAGTCAATTCTAAAATGCTTTCACTACATTGTTTTTAAACACTACTAATCTGATACAGTAATTGTAAATAAAAATACATACAAGAAAACCTCATAATCACTTTAAAAAAATCACAAGAAAAACAACAGCCCAAAACCAAGTAGCCTGTCCCGTTCTTTTAAACATTGGAAAGAATTAAGCTGACCCATCCAGCCAAGTCCTACACGGATCAGAACAGCCTTTACAACATTCACAGTGGGCAGGGAGCAAAGATAAACATCTCGCCTCAGGAGACTCACACCACCAGCAGGTCCCTTTAAGCTTTGCTGCTAGTGTTGGTGTATGAAAATGGTGTACAAGAGTCAGAAGTTAATTGGAGTATCTGGATAACTCTGTGAAAAATAATACTTATTAAGCAGGAAATGCAGTGCTAAAAAAAAAATCTTGTTTCTGCCATGACTCACAGCTCTCCACAAAGGACACAGACAAAGCATAAAAGAAGACTTCACCTTTCAAAGCAGCATTACTAGGGGCAAGGGAATTCTCTACTATCTATTAGGTAAAGAATATAATAATTAAGGTTTGAAAAGATCTCTAAGATCATCAAGTCCAATCGTCAACCCAGCATCACCAGGACCACTATGTACCAAAGTGCCACATCTACAAATTTTTATAACACCTCCAGGGATGGTGACTCCACCACTTCCCTACGTAGCCTGTTACAATGCTTGGCCACTCTTTCAGTAAAGAATTTTTAACTCATATCCAATCTGAACCTCCACTGGTGCAACTTGAGGCCACTTCCTCCCATCCCATCACTAAGTTACCTGGGAAAAGAGACCAACATTTGCATCACTACAACCTCCTTTCAAGTAGTTGTAGAGAGCAGTAAGGTCTCCCCTCAGCCTTTTCTCCAGATGAAACAATTTCAGTTCCCTCAGCCTCATAAGACTTGCTCTCCAGACCCTTCATCAACTTTGCTGCCCTTCTCTGAACATGCTCCAGCACCTCAAAGTCCTTCTTATAGTGAGGGCCAGAACTGAACACAGTACTGGAGGTGCAGCCTCACCAGTCCTGAGTACAGGGGCACGATCACTTCCCTGCTCTTGCTGGCCACGCTATTTCTGATAAAAATAGGTTGAGGATAATGAATCATAAATAGATTGTGAGGACAGTTTCTTAGGGTCTAACTGAAAAGGAACAATGACCTCCTTGATTAAAGTATATTTTAACTTTATGAATTATATACTGATTATATATTTCCAAACAGAAGGAAGGGGCTTGGCATCTCTCATCAATGTACTGTTTCGATTTTACTATAAAAATGAATACCTAGAAGACTTTTTAAAGCCATTGTTGATTTTGCATATATTGACTTTTCCAGATAAATGGGATAAATATTGTAATAATGTATAATAATTGGTTTCCATAGGTTTACGATACAATAAAGCTAGAGCATTCCAGTGGAATTTAATTATTTGACACAGATGTTTCCAATTCCCACTAACATTTTTGAAGAAAAAAGAAATAATACAAAGATAGACCTCAAAGAGGTTATTCAATATAGATGCATATCAGTGTTAAAAAGAAGTATGAATAATGACCATAAACTGACCTAAAACTGTACACCATGAATGGATTCTACTCAGGGAAACTGAACTGAGTCCCACTAACAATTTCCCCAATGTGGATAAATTAAGTGCAGCAAAATTGGTATGCTGTTAAAAGCAACATGGGAGTTTAACAGTCTTTTTGGAGCAATGCGTGCAATAAGGAAAATGTTCCGATATCATCTGAGGAGGAGCATTCAATAGATGCTTCTGGGATTCACAGAGATTTCTTGCTCTGCAACTGAAGGAGAGCCTACATCTTACAGTTATGTCTATCAGTGACAAACAAGTGAATTATGTTATGCACTGTAGTTACTACAAAATATTTTTATTGTCTTTTTTAAAAAAATTATATTCCAAAATAATTTTTGAGTTTAAAAAACAAAGATCACTAAGAACCATCTGCTAGACTTTGAATCTAACAGCTACAATGTACAACTTTTCATATCTGTGTAGTGATTTTTATCTATAAATTTGCTGTTATCTGCAATAAAGCAAATTATA